TGGCTTGGGTTTTGTTTTTTCTCTTGTCATCTTTGAAATAAGTTGGTTTTGAGAAGGATGATGTTTTTTCTGTTTGTAGAACTTATACACAACACAGCGTTTCTTCTTTGAATGCAGGTGATTCACCAAATGACCAAAAAAGCCCTGAAGAGGGGCCTGAGAAGAAAAAAGAGAGAAAGTCTGAAGCCTTGAACATCAGAGGTACAGCATGGGAGTATAATGCTAATACTGTATTAACTTTAAACACTTTCTGGTTTCCATTTCAGGGTTCCCCCCCCCCAATATCAGTAAGAAAGGGAGCAAAAGCCCAGGACTCTTCTATAGGTGTGGACCCATATGTGTATGTATGTTATCTTTAGCAGAAAGGGTTTGGTTGTGTGAAATAGCATGGATAATAATAGTGTGATGCTGATTTGGCTCCAAGTGTGTTTACATTTTGATTATAATTCTTCAGAAAGAGTGCGGCTGAACTTTTTGGAAAGGAGACAAAGCCTCTTGCACTAAGCTCCTGTCACTAGAGGCCTTATAGGAAGGTAAAGCAGGTATCTATGAGGCACTTTGAGTGTCACTGCTATAGCAGTTGAGCAGTTTTCAACTTTAAAATGCTTTTGGGCAGAAAACAGAATTTCTTTAAATCCTGAGGTTAAAAATGCTTTGTAGTCAGCATGAGGAAAAAGGTGCTGAAACTGGTGCTTCAGCACAGTGTTTTTACAGGTCCTTGAACTGTGAACCTGTCCCTGAGACAGAGTCTGTGACAGTATCAACCCTTCTTACGTTGTAATTTGGCTGGCCTCTGGCTATCTGCAGAGTGAAACTGCGTAGCTGCTTCTAGGAATATATTAACCAAGCGTCTCACTCCCTCTCTGTGTAGGTGTTTATAGGCATACACATGTACATACCTATTCTGAGCAGAGCCAAGAGCAGTTATCTTTGAGTACATTAAACATTGAGTTTGTCCCTCAAAGAAAGGGCTGTCAGAAAGCTGAAACATGATGGTCATTTCAGGCTTCTTATGGTCACCTATCAGCATCTAATACTCCTCCAAAGTCGTGTAAGTCGGCAGCACATGAATTCAACTTAAAGAGGTTGATGTTGCAGTCAGGCTCTTGGGTTTGTGTTTTTTTGGGGTTTTTTTGGTGTGTGTCTGTCTACGTGTCTTTCAAAAGCATTTTCAGAGTTACATGAATGTGTCTGTAAGGGATGATGTTGCAGTCAGGCTCTTGGGTTTGTGTTTTTGGGGTTTTTTTTTGGTGTGTGTCTGTCTACGTGTCTTTCAAAAGCATTTTCAGAGTTACACGGATATGTAAGGGAAGACACTTTGGAAACAAACCATGTGCTAGAGCCACAACACTTTCCTGAATGTCTAGAAATTGGTGTCACCGGATGTTATGGCATTATAGTGGTAAGATTATTGGCGCAGGAAAAGCAAGCTGTCACTTTCAGGGATGGAGGAGAGAAGGATAAGAAACCGATGAGTGTATTTTAGAGAAAGCCTTACTTGCCTAAATGACAGTGCTTAGGCAGGATGGTGCTGGAAACTTTCAAAAAGGTCTGAAGGATAAAGAATTTTCTACTGGTCATTTTAAGATACCTGTCGTCTTTGATTATTAAAATGAGACTTTTTCTCTAAGTGCTACTTCAACTTTTATATGTCATCTTTGCAAAATCTGTTTTTATTGTCCTTACAAATATTCCTTGCTTCTTTCACCAGTGTTACAGATACGTGTCTTTAACATTCTGATTCAAATTCTATGTTTTTTCTTTGCTGCTGTAAGTTAGTTACATAGCTATACTTCATAATCACTTGGCAAAAAATTCTGTACATTGTAGAATTAGAGCCTCCCTGAAAAACGTGGCTGGACAAAAAGGATTGGTGGAGGAATTGGTTCCTTGATTTTTAAAAGTGGTAGGAACAGGAATCCGGACATTCTGCCTGATGAGGTTAATTATTGTCATGCAAAATTATTCCTTTTGTTTCTTGAGCATACGCAGAGTAGTTCAGACTTTCCAACACAAGCTGTTGGAAGCTATGCATTACCTATGGTCTTACCATACTGACTTTATTTATTAAAAATTAATTTTCGGTCCCATTTTATAACTGTAGCTTTTGGTTTTTTTTTTGGGTTCATTTCTGTCTAGGCCCTCATTGTGTGATGCGTAACCAAGACGTACATATTAACAATGTTAATAATGTAAAATAAGCATTTTCCAAATTCCATATTCACAATTCACAATTTGTCATAATTCTGACATGCTTTTTTTTTTTTTTTTTTTTTTTCTTCTTAATTCAAAAGAAGACTTTCTGGAACAGTTTCCTGTTCTTTTTAAGCTGTGCTCTCCAGTTAGCTGCCTTGGCAATTGCATGCTGCCTGTCCCTCTTGTTGGTGCAATAGCTGATAGCCCATGCTGAATCGGGATTATTTGTAAATGAAAAGGAAACACTGCAACACTGTTAGGAGGAGTAAAGCCCCGCTGGAGTCTGCCAAAGGGCGCAGAACATGCCTGACTCCAGCAGAAAGAGCTGCCCTCACTGAAAGTTCGTACTTTCTTATCTGACCCGAGTGATTCGGAGGAACTCCAGTGGTTATTGCCTTCATTTCTCACGCTGAAGATCAATGTTCACGCAAACAGCAGCACAGGCACCGCTCTAGGTCTAATCCAGTGTCCAGCATCACCAGAGACTCAAAACTCTTTGCTGTGTTGTTAATAAATTTCAGAGGCAGCCTTTTACAGCTTCTCCAGCCCAGAGGAAGTGATTAGATTGGAGTGAAGCTCTTGAAAGTGCTTGTGATAAGGACGTTAAAAGGAGATGGTCCATTTTATTCTCTCACAGGCTCCGAATAAAAAGTATTGACCAAGAAATTAACTTTGTATAGTTAGAGATGTTATGAATTAGGCATGGGTTGGAATGAAGTCTGCGTCTGAACAGTAAGGACTGACAAAACTGGAGTGCATTTGAGCAATGACAGGAAGAGGGAAGGCTATGTAAAGTAATTTGAAAAGAAAAAAATGGAAAAAAAATGAGTTTTTAGATTATTGTAACTTTATAGCAGGAAAGCCACTTTTGTTATTGTAGTTGAAAGGGCAGCTAAAAATGTTTTGTGTCTTTACCTTTTGTGTGAAATCTATGTATAGATGTAGAAAGTGGTACCCAGCGTTCCTCTCAATTTAGAGTAGTCCAGGCACACATTAAACCATGGTGTCCGTGTGACTAACTCTCCAACCAGATTCTGATTTTTTTGGGGGGGTCTGAGGGCTAGTAGTGTTGGTCGGGCAAGGTTTAATATGACTAGTAATCAAGCTTGATCCAAAACTTGGAGTTTGAGGCCATTTGGAGCCATGGGAATGGGCTTAGGTTTCACTTAGGTAATTTTTCAGATTTCAACAGTGTCATAGAAACTGATGGAGGAGAATAACTGTTACTGGGCTGAGGCTCTCCTAGCTTCCAGGGTACAACAGATACATTTAGTCATCAATTTTTAATTGAGAATTGAGATTTAATGTGCCAGGATCTGTTAATAATATGCAGGCATTTAAGCAAACGCATTTTACGTTGCCATGGCATTGCAGTTGGATTGCAGTTGCTAGCATACCCTACATATTTAATAATGCATCCCACTTAAGCAGCTGCGGTTCAGAGTCAGTATTTCCCTTGCTGTTTTGTTCTGAAAGCTGTTTTTGAAAACTTAAGTGATGACATTGGTGCTTGGAATATTGCGTTTTTCATGGGAAGTAGAACAGGCTTGAAAAATGCAGCTTTAGTCTCCTTCTCCTCCCAAAAAACCTCCACAACAACCCACTAATGGAAATTGTGCCATTTCTTTCAGGTGTTCTTTTGCATGTTATGGGAGATGCACTTGGATCTGTGGTCGTGGTAGTTGCTGCTACAATCTTCCATATACTTCCTTTGGGGAATGCTCCGTGTAATTGGCAGTGCTACATCGATCCAAGCCTGACAATAATTATGGTGTTCATCATCTTGTCTTCTGCATTCCCGCTTATCAAGGAGACCTCAACTATTTTGTTGCAGATGGTTCCCAAAGGTGTTAATATGCAAGTACTGAGTAAGTCAAATTTGTTGTTGAAATGCTATTAATTTTAATGATATATTTCAATGCATATGTTATTTCTGGAGTGACATGTTTGGATTATTTACTCATAATAGCTCTAAATTCTCAAGAACTGTGAGAAATAGTCACATGGCTGTGTCCTAGCAACATGACTCAAATCTCTCTGGATTAGTTAAAGCATGCATTTTGAGAATGTGGTATTCCAACAATACATCAAAAATACCAGGTCTTGAGCTGTTAATGCTTTGTGTGGGGTGTTTGTGAGAGAAACAACACTGAATTACAATATTTTCCAACCCTGCAGCGGCTTCTTCCAAAACACCTCAGAAATTTCCATTAAGGCTGGTAAATTTTCTAGCTCTGGCATTGTTCGCACTGGTTAATTGTGGGGTAGCACTGGTTATTTCCAGAATTCCAGCATGCTCAGGGCTAAAGGAACCAGGAGATGTGGGGTCTCGGCCGAGGAAGTGATGCTCTAATGTTTTTTCTGTGAACGGCTGGTAAATTGCCATTAGGGAGCCTGAGGGATGGGGGGAACCCTAAAGGAAAAGTGGCCTGCTCTTGTGGTCATCTGGAGGCTGAACTGAAGGCAGCTGGGAATAGACATGTTTTACCAAGTACAGCTCTTTTAAAAAGATAGTTTGGAGACTGCTGCTTTCAGATAGGGCTCTGAATGGGAAAGCTAGTAATTAGCCAGTACACCAAAACCTCTAATATCTTTCTCTTATGTCTTCCAGCTGACAGACTAGCTCGCGTACCAGGGGTTAGCAGCCTTCATGAGGTGCACGTTTGGGAGCTTGCAGGTGGGAAGAATATTGCTACTCTTCATATCAAGTGCCAAACCCCTACTGATTACCAAGATGCTGCTTATAAAATACGGAAGGTTTTCCACGAAGCAGGGATCCATTCTGTGACCATCCAGCCCGAGTACATTGACCACAAGACCTCCCAGCTACTGTGCAGCTCGCCCTGCATCTCAAAAGCTTGTGACTCTCAGCTGTGCTGCAGTCAGCGGGAGCCCCCCCTGGCTAAAACTAATGGCTATACTGAGAAAAACGATAGTTGCCTTTCTGCACTGCATAAAGACAATGGTTCAAGTAAAAATGATATCGAAATCCCTATCGAGTACCCACTGGCAGAGGATAGCGTTAAAAACGTGAAAAATTGTGGCGTGTCAGATAACAAATCACAGTTGAGTAGTACACGACTTTAGGCAATTCCCTCTACTCCGCGTCATGTTTTCATAGAACAAACATATCCTGGCTGGGAAGGGGGTCATCGGTGGTTGTAGCTGAAGTTGGTGTGGCAAAAAGATTTCTGTGCTTTAGCTGTAAACCAAAATACACCTAAACCCCCCTTGTATCTGAAATGAGGATTAATATTTCCACAAAGGGTGTTGCATTCATCTAAGATTTTTCTGATACAGCCTAACCCAGTTCCTTACCAAACTACGTGTGAGTTTCTGTCGTTAGAAATTTTGTATTGCTGTCTGCACTGATGCTTGCAGTTAATGGCCAGTGGCACTGGGAATGAAACTCTGGCCTTTTCTGCTGAAGTGACCTGTTTCCTGAAAGCCCTGTGGCCAGTTCATGATTGTACTGGGCTGAAGTACTGTATATTTATAAAGGACTTCAGTAGAGATGCTTTACTGATCCTTAAAACCCATTTTTGCATAGACAGTTCATGTTTAACAGTAACGCTTGTGCTTCTGGCCAGTGGGGTTTTGTGAGTGAAATTGTGTCTGAGGGGCAGGGGAAGCACTCAGGAATTTTGACTTGCATTGTTTTCTTGATTGACTCCTGTATTGAGGGACAGAGCAGAAGCTGGTCTTGCTTCTCTGCTAGTAATACTGGAGTCTTAGCCTAATCACAGATAAGTATGCTAAAGAATGGACTTCTTGTCATGAAAGCAAAGAAATACTTACTAACGTTGTCTGTACTGATTTAGCAAATGGAAATGCAAGCAGTCATCCAGTTAACTTTTATCTTGTTCACTGTTGTGATTGTACAACTCCTTTTTTTTTTTAAATTTTTATTTTTATTTTTTGTCCTGGCAGCAGAAATTACAATAGCAACGGTCTTAATTCATCATTGTGCGGGATGATTGCAGTATCTTTAACACTGAGTATCTGTCATTATTCATGCTGAATAAATAAGCTAATGTGTTTGTTATGAACAGCTAAAATTCTGCAGTTCTATTATTAAGACACAATTTAATATTGTACTAATTAAGAAAGTCCCTTTAAAGTTTTATATGCAGTATTATCACTTGGAGGAAGCTTTAAAAAATATTACAGGGAATTTTTCCTTGTTTAGTCTTGATTATTGTTAATTTGTTTTAAAGGTCTAAGCCCTCTCCTCTGCCCTGCCCTTCCTCCCCCTGCCCAAAGGTGTATTTCAAAGTGTATTTAATGAAGCAGTTCCTTTATCTTTTTTGCTGCTTGCCTTTTTTTCAAGGCATGCAAGGGATGCTCTAAGGAAAACAAGATGACGTGCCCTGTCACCAGTGCTGGATTTAGGTCAGGTCTGTTCTCCAGGTTTCTCGTAGAGGAGACCCCACTACCTAATCCACGCGGAGTGTAGTGCTTAGCCTCACCGGCTATGCAGACCAGATCCAGAAGCTTTCAAATACATTTTGCTCACAACAGTAGCCTTTCAATGGTCTGTGTGGCCTGGGCAGGCTGTTTTATTCATTTATTTATGGGGACCTCTCTATAAAATAGCGGTGTCTTTACCTCAGGGACACCTTAATAGAAAGGGAAAATTGATTTCCTGCCTGGGCTGGGACCATACCTGGACCTCCTTGTATGGCTGGCTAGAAAGCAGCTGACTCCTTATTAATAAGGACGATTACATTAAGTCAATGAATATTAAAACACACAGCAAGCTATTTCACTGCTTGAAAAATGGTATTTACTGAAGTAGCGATTGCAGTCTAAATAGCACATTTCTAGATTTGTAGGTACCCCTTTTGAACAGATTCTTGGGTGAATTAATCTATTTTATAGCATTCCATCATAAGTGTCTATTATATAAATTAAACTATGTGTTAGTATAATTAAAAGCTTGAGCCTCCAGTCTGTTTGAGTCTGTTGGCAGCAGCAGCAGCGGTGAAAGCAGCAGGATCTTGCTTGGCAGTTGTTGCACGAATTAATGTAAATCCGGAAACATTTTAAGAATTGCTCTGTCTTTTAAAAGCGTGTGGCGTAAAGTAAGACAGCCCTTTCTTCGGTTCTTTTTGTCCTTATTTTCATCTATGATGATGTTTCAATGTCAGGGTTTAGATGTAAATAACAAATATATTTATAGGTTTTTTTGAGAACTGGAATAGAAAGCTCCCAAAATAACTTGCTTCCCAGATATCCTCTAAACCAAGCACCCTTTCATAATTATGCATTTGTGTCTTAAATCAGGTAATCTTTTTATATGTACATTTTATTAAATGGTTGAAAGATGGAATGGCAGTATTGTTTATTCTGGAATTAGAGAAAACTAGTATGCGTAACATTGAGGCATTTGACAAAATGGACCGTCTTTTTCTTTATCCTTCCAGTGTTTGTTAAAACTGTGATTATCTATTTTTTAAGTTTTTAAAAGTGTTGTAACCTGAAATTACAATGAAGTAACATTCTTAAAGATTTTTCTTGTCTGGTTGAAAGTACTGTAATTGTTGCCTGTGAATAAATAGGAAAATACCAGGGATTAAAGAAGTCTTCAGGTCTAGAAAACAAGCAGATTTAAAATTTGCTTTATTACTTAAGCAAGCAAAACCAACAGAGCTGTATTATTTATGAGGTGAACTTTGTTTTTTCTGTGTAGAGACTTTCAGGGTATCCAAATAAGGTTTCTGACCCAGCATCCTTGTTTTCCTTTGAGTCCAGGAAGAAAATATTTTTTTCTTCTGTTTGAAGTGTTTCACAACTCAGCTCTACTGGGTGACCCCTCTCTACTGCTGTAGACTTCATTTCCATCAGTATGTGTTTTGTACTGGCTTATTTCCCTTCAGTTCTTGGCATATCTCTTCTAATTCTCTTGAAGTAAACTTACCTCATTTTGAAATAGAGTATATTTCAGTATTTGCCCTTATCTATGGGCACTTGCTCTAAATTCAGTTTTTAGTGTATTGCACTGTTAAAAAATCTCTTTTCTGGCCTCTTCAGCTTAATTGCTTTTTCCCCCCTTCCAATTCAGTAATGTAAAATTTCTGACGATTGCAGGTTGATTGTGCTACCCTGTCCTCTTCAATTACTCCCTTCTGATTGCAACATTATGGCATTCCGTTTCTCTTGCAGTGGTTGCCCCGATCTGTCAATCGCTGCCTGATTTTCAACCGGATTTCCAGCCTCTGTGGCCCTCTGATCCATAGCCAGTCATACATGTGACCTAGTTGTATGACAACAAAACGTTTGCTAGCCTTGGCAGATAGTTTTGGAGCAAGAGTGAAATCATGAATGAATTAACCTGGCACTGAATGCAAAAGCAATTTACTGGCCTTCATCAGCCATCGCCCTTTTCTTAAAGTGAATTCAATTGTTTTGTCACCTTTTGTATGTTATCCTTTAACCAAACATGTCAATTTGGTAGTTAATTTTTCCTTCTTCTGTAACTCTCTAAATGCAGATCTTGCCTTTGCTTTTCTATGTAAAGAAAAATAACTGATGCTATTTTGGGGAGTATTGCCTTTGTTTTGCCAAATTTTCAGTTGACTTCCTTCTCCTTGTGTTCTGACTTTGACTTGTAGTGCAACCGTGGTTCTTTCCTCATAATGTTTTTCTTATTTTTTGTCTCTTCAATAAAAACAGTATGGTTTTGCTAGCCTTCTGGTCATGGTGATGTACCTATAATACAGTTTAGAAATACCTCTTTTATGCACCGGTTTAATTTTTGCACTCCATTTAATTTAAATTCACTCGCTTTCTGGTTTTGCTTTGTGATACATTTCACCATTGCAAACTGCTTTTTGATCTTGTTTAGTTCTTCCTAATCTTCCCCCCTGCCTGTACCTGATTACAGCACGCACTGTCCTGAATGCTCCCTTTTATTCTGAACTTTGAAGGGAATATGCTGGCATCCAAATTTTCCCCGAAGTGAAGTTCACCACCCAAGGTCTATGGATGGCTACTCCAAGGACTGTTTTATGTCCTGTGATCTGTGTCAAAGTGTTGTCTAAGTAGTCATCCTGAGAGATATATATTTAAATTCTTTATAAATACTCCACCGGAACCAACTTTTTAAAGAAAGTTGGTTTCTAAGCCTGAGAAGGTATAATGAAATCACTATGGTTCATTAGTCGTTCATTAACACCTTAGGGGGAAGCTTGGATCCCTAATTGGAAAGCAGATAAAAGGGACGTTTCTGAAAAGATAATCCAAACACTATGAAGATTTCTGTAGGTTCTGCTACTTGCTCTGCTGTACAGTGGAAGCACTTTCGGTGTTAAATACTTTATTTGAACAGTGATACCTTGATATGAGGATGCCACTGTATAAAGTTGTTACATTTATGGAGTTGTGTTGCTTAAAAGTTTCCTCCAGTTTTTCTGTTCATTATGTGATTTAAATAATGTGCCAAAATGTAATTTCCATGATTGCTGAATCAATGAATGGAAAATCTCACTGTGGTTTTATTAACTTAGTGAAAAATTACTTAAAGTTTTATGTACAGTTATATTTTTTTCAAAATGAAGTTTGAATGTCTTGTAAATAAAGTGTATTTTTAAATAAACCCGTTGTCCTGAGCTTGGTGTATGTTAGCAATAGGGAGCTTGTGTCAGTTTGGATAATTTGAAGACTTTTGTATGAGTAAAGTTTGCTTTTAACCTGTGAGCTTGTTAATGTCAGGATTAAAACAGCACACTCCAAATCTTTTTCTTCTTGTCCTAAAGCGGTGTTTTTCAACATTTATTAATCCAAGCATTACTTTCTCTCTTTGAAAAGAAATGCCAGCATCACCTGGGCAGCATTGCTGTGATGGTTTTCATGTGCAAGCAATAACAGGTTATGACCGTAATGCTTAAACAGGTTATAAACCATCAGCTCTCCAGAGAAGTCACTAGAGCAGCCCTGTAGGTTTGTGGCTGAGCTTCTCTCTGCTGAAGTGTGGTCAAAGTTTAACGCTTTTAAGCTTAAAGTGTGGTCCCTTGCTGTGATGGGTTTATCTTCTTCTTTCAGTGGGGTAGCTAACATGCTTGTGGTCAGTAGCAGGCATTTGAATA